GTCAAGTCATGAAGCCTTCGAACGTGACGATGCAAGAAATCACTGCAACATACGCTAGGGTTCGCCATGAGGCGAAACCCTAGCAGAGCCTCCTAATATATTTAAAAAAAAGGATAAAGCAAGTTGTATGAGTGGGCCCAAAAAAAGGCACCCAACCCATACGGTACAACGCACACAAAATTCCCAAAAATAGAAAATATACATATAATTAGGGACGACTTAATTTAGTCTTGCCTCTGCCTCTGGTTCTCGAAATGGAGTCAGCTAACAAATTGGTGAGGTGCGTACCATTACCTAAAGTATCAATCATTAGATTTTTGAGCTCAAGTAGGTCTTCATTCTTTTTACTCCTAGATGTGTAAACTTGTCATTCCTCATCTGAAAATTGATCGTCTTTCTCATTCGAATGAGGTGGTAAAACAGTAGTAGAAATATTGTCAACCGTTGTAACCACAATAGGTTCCAGTGTATGTGAAGTATGAGTCATCGCCTCTGCACCAGATACTTCCTGAAGAAGAGGAGCTACAAGGCTCTCATGACTATCAGTCTGAACACTATCCTTTGTAGGTAAGGGTCCTTCAGTAATGTTACCAATAAGGTTTGAAGGTGTAGGTTGCCCAGCAGAGCCATCCAGCATCACATCAATTGCAGAAACAGAAACAATATTGGCAGGGGGATCCACAGGGGCAATTAAATCAGACACAAAATCCTGTCATGTGGTAATTTCCTCCACAGGTTGAGCAAATGTGTCCAAAGCAGTGGGGTTAGACTCATCCTTATTTACTTGAGCTTTAGATTTCAAATTAGGATGGAGTTTGTGACATTTATCAAGGGTATGCCCAAACATCTTACAGTGGGTATAATAAAAAATTCTATGTTTCATGACAATTTGTTGTTAATATCTATTATGAGTTGTACCCAGTCAGACTTCAATAATATCAGGTAAAGTAATATCCCTTTCCACAAGTATTCTGGCCACAGAAGACCTAGTTAGATTGAAGGAGGGTAGATCTAGCTTCATAAGATCCCCAAATATGGCCCCAATAGAGTAGAGAACTTGATGATTAAAAAAATATAACTTGAGACCAGGTAAATTAAATCATACCGGTACAGTAGAAGACTCGTGATTTGGGTCAAAATCAAGAGGCCACTTGAGTAACTTCATTAATTTTTCTGCAATAATAAGATATTTTTTAGAAAAAATTTGAGTGTAGTCTTCAACCACGGTTAACTGAATCAACACATGTCTCCCATTAAATTCTCACTTTTAACTTGCCTACAAGTTTGAGATCGTCAAAACACTTTTTGATAACTTCCATAGGTGGGGCCCCCACTGAAACTTTTCAATAAGAATGAACTTGAATTTCTCAATTATGGTTAAAATTTCTACATCAGAGAAAAAGAGTGATGTTTTCCCACCCTTCCTACTTGTCTTCTTAAGAAAAGAGCAGTCACATGTACCGTCATGACATTCCTTATAGCTTGAGAGAAAGACAACAATAGACTTCACTAGATGATTGTTAGGTTCAACAGAAGGAGTAAGCGCCATCAAAACAAACATCGATCCTTCAGCATGCAGACGCGGAAGACTCGCAAAAATTTCAGCATCGAAACTAGCGAAAGGACGCCGCTAAAGACTTGCGGACCCTTCAGCCTGCAGATGATCCAGCAGAGACGTGCACGACGCCGCAGAAGATGAGCCTCGATCGCGAGCCATTCAGCCTGCCGCACGGATGCACTCTCATGGAAACGTGCACGACACCGCAGAAGACGAGCCGCGAGGATGATGCACGAAACAGAAGAAAACAAAAAAAGATCGAGCATGAGCAATGGAGCAGAAACCAGGTCAAGATATATATATGTGTGTGTGTGTGTGTGTGTGTGTGTGTGTGTGTGTGTGTGGGCGCGCGCGCGTGTGTGTGTGTGCGTCTGTGTGTCTGTATCTACTTATAAAATTCTTATTAACTTCATTAAAAAGTATTAAAACTCACCTTTTCATTTCTCGGTCAAAATCCCTAACACACATGTGGGACCTTCTTTCTCTACACGTGCGATCCGACTCCAACCCGCACACACGAGAGCTCCTTCCTCTCTTTTTTCTTCCTTTGATCAGTTTCATTCCTTCTCCTTCGCACCAGAGCTGCTCGACACTTCTTCCTATGATTGGTTAGGGCACGAGCTTTCGTTATGTACATGTATAGAACGACCAAAAGTCTTTTGTCTTCTTCTTCATTTGATTCAACACACCAGGAATCGTCTGCCTTCACCTGCTTTGCACACCGTAACTCGTTGACGCAGTCCATCGAACCCAAACCCGATCATCTACTCAATTTGGTTCGCCAGACGACGATCTTTGCCGCAAGCACACAAGGTCTATCTTCTTCCCATCGTCAGTATTATGCGCGTCAAGACAACCCTGGCCTTCGACCGCCTTGTCTCCTCTCTCGAGTCATTCGAAAATCACACACCCAACTAATCCATCAATCCTTCAGTTGCCTAACCGATTTCCTTCCCTTTCTTCTTAAAAGTTCCTCCTGATCGGTATAACTCCTCCAGATACGACTCTCCTCTGCTCGATATGACTCATGGGATTATAACGCCATAAAATTATATAATATCAAGCGTTACATAAATGATTCAAATAAATATTTTGCATCTCATCTTGAGTTGTTGTACTTTACTTTTTGCTTAGCCATTTCAAGGTAAATAACATTACTGTTCTCATATCATTATCTAATTAATATAGTCTAATTAAAAACTCATTTTTTAGCCTAAACCTCATTCCTTAATATTTAGTATGTCATATTTCTACTCATTATCTAATAGCAACTCTCTTGGAATCTCCACCTAAAGCCCGGCTCAACCACTTTTCTCCATTTCCTCCACTTTTAAGCCCCAATAACCTGTTTTTATCCTAATTTGTCCTACTATTAACAATAACCAAATAGTCTCATCTCCAATGTATCCATTTCCAGTCATCTCAACCGCTTTAAACCTTCACGTTTATATTCATTGTGCAACCCAACAAGCATTTCTTTCATTGCTCAAGCAGGCTGAAACATGCATTAGTCCATTAACTTTGGCACTTAGCATCATCTATGGTACTCTTTAACCAAGCCTAACGCTCATATGATGAATCCTAGTTAAAGGGGCAACCAAATTCTTGATACTTGAGCAAACATGCCTCGTGGCACTTCTGCAAACAAACAAATTACATGTGGTGTCATCGAAAAAAACTATCGTCACGGACACTAGCAAGCTAACCAGAAGGTGGTCAATTTAATTTTCCCAAAGAGTAGAACATTTAGGATTTGTTTTGTGGTGAGAAAAACTAGGACTAGGAAAGCTATTTTTATTAAATAGGTAGGCATTGGTGTGTACAACAATAGTTCAAAGGCCACTCGCATCCATGTTGACTATGCCCGAACAACTTAAAATTATGCCCAGAAAGTACTAATAAAGAAATTGCTTGACTAAAACATGGGAAAAAAATTCATTAGTGTTTAGTAACACGAATGTAAAAATGGAAAAGATAACATTTAATGGAACATCCTAATTATTTGAAGATGAGGTGTCTAAGTTCAAAGGCCGCTCGCATCCATGTTGACCATGCATGACCAACCTTAAAATTATGCCCACAAAGTACTAGTAAAGAAATTGCTCAAGTAAAACACGTGGAAAAAAATTCTTTAGTGTTTAGTATCAAAAATGTAAAAATGGAAAAGATAACATTTAATGGAATATCCTAATTCACTATCTATTTACAGATATTTCAACAATACATAGGCCGCATGTGTGAAACCCCTCAAGTAGATTGAAGCTGAACTCTTAAACATCGAGATGTCTTTTGGTGTAATGGTAAGTGTTTCATCAAAAAATCTAAATAGAAGTGTGCTCACATGGGAGAACTCCTAGGTTGGGTGACTGTCTGGGTAGTTATACCGACGGGGCAAAAACATGAGGTCACTAAGCCAGAGCTGACGGTATCTCGATGGGTGAGATTTTGGGTTGTTACAAATGGTAACAGAGCATTACACCAGCCGAAAGATAGAAACTGATTCTCATACAAAATAATGTGTTATGTCATGGGAGTCGCATGAATGGGATAAATTACTACCTGGTGGGAGCCACCTCTTAAATCTGTATAGGTCACCTCTAGAATCATATATGTCTGATAGATGATTCTGGGTATAGAGCATTGACGAAGAAGTTAGATACTTAAGTGGGGGAGATTGTGAAACCCCTTAAGTAGACTGAAGCAGAACACTTAAACATCGAGGTACATTTTGGTGTAATAGTTGGAGTTTCGTCAAAAACACCAATGTTAAGCGTGTTCGCATGAGAGAAACTCCTAGGATGGGTGACATCCTAGGAAGTTACATCAACAAGGCAAAACCGTGAGGCCATTAGACCAAAGCGGGCAATATCACGATGGGTGAGAGTTTGGCCTGTTACAACACGTCTTGCCCCAAAATCAACAATTAAGTTGAAAATAGAAACTAAAATAGGAATTGCTTTTATTTGGATAGTTCCTAGTATTGACTAAACATAAAAGTTCAATTTGGTTATCAATTTGATAACAATGTACATAATGTGGTTTATGTTCTGTTTAATTTCGTTAGTCTTGATTTTATTTGGACAGTGCTTGGTTTTTTTTTTTTTTAGTTTTTTTTGAATAATACAAGCCTTAAATGATTGATTACAGCTTACATAATCAGTTATATTAAAAATAAGTGGGGTGGAGGTTTGATAATATAAACCTTCTTCAGTTTTAGCAAAGCCCCAAACCATGTTGGTGCCAATTTGCTGAAACAAAAAATGCAAAGGCCCTTAAAATAAACTTAATTACTTTATTAAGCTTTATATTATTCTCCAGCTCGTTACTGTCTGCTTCCCGCAAAAACAAATGGAGTCCCATCCATCATTTTATACAAAAAGTAATATGAACATATGAATATCCGTTCCTTAAAGCGGTGAAGGGAAAAGCATAAGAAAATTACCTCACAGACGGTGAAAAAGGCAGGAGAGTCAAGCGAGAAACCAAGTTTTACTAGAGCCTGAAAAATAGATGCCAAAATTACCCGAATTTAAGTTTACTATAAAATAGAAAAAAATCTTTAATGGTGGCATAGTATAAAGTCAAAAGATCCACGCAATACAAAGAATATATTTGTCATAGGAAGTGTACATTTGACAAGGTCAAGATCAAAGACAATATAGCTAACCTTACATATATTGGTTATAGGAAGCGTGTACATTGCTACAGAACTTTAATATTCTCAGAAATTGCTAATAAACAATATCATCGGTCTTCAATTTACCGATGAACATGCAAAATGAATTCAAATTTAATTTTCATGATGCAGTTAAAGATAATATACAAGAGATGCTGCCATTGAAGTCAAATGATTATGAGCATTTTAATTACATAATGTGCAATTTAATTACAAAAAGCTAAAACCAACAACATTTGCCTCAATCCTAGATCATCTTTGCATGACATAATTCATTTTACATACATCAGAACTTTCAGTTATTCTTAAAATCTGTCAAAATCAAGTCAACTAGAAATCACTTAACATTGAATCAATTAAACAGGGACCCTAGTCTACTTAAAAAGTAAACTTCAAATGATTTTGGAACATTAAACTTGTAAGTAAACTTTCAGCATCAAGATTTATAACTCTAGAGAAGTTTAAACCAAAAGAATCCTTTCGCAAAATGGAGTAAAATGTTTACAAGAGATTAAGACTTCATTTGGGGGGCAACTTTTGATTGCTTTTGTGGTAGGAAAAAAAAGGAAACAAACAGTAGTTTCCATATGGATGTGAACTTTTTCACAGATTTTTTAAAATTTTATCTTGGAAAAGCTGGACAGCATAAAAGAAATTATGGTTGCAGAAATAGATTTTAGCAACGAAAGTAAGCTGCCCAAAATAAATCTTGATTTTGGCTTCTAAAAACACAATCAACACCAAAACGAGAGTGCTCAACTTCTGTCTTGTTCAAAATTAGTGATTTGAAAACATTTTTTTATATAAAAATCGACAAACAGCTTCGAACAGCTCATTTGCTAAGCTAATCAGCTAATGACCAAGTTTAATGACTCAGTTTGAAGGTTGGAATTTCTAAGATGTAAGAAAATGGTCAAACGATGAAAATAATCTAAATTTTAATTTATACCACTAACAAAAAATCATCCAAATAAATCATAAGAGCAATTAAGTAAAGAGCTTAATTAACTTAAAAGTAAAACAGTTGTGAATGAAATTATCTTTCTCTAGCCTGATTGTGTTTTCTATAAACATTCTCTCTTTTGTTGCTAATTTTTAATCTCGAAACTTAAACCCGAAAAATATTAAATTAAATTCCCGTGGGTTATCAACTATTCAGTAAATAACTAAAAACATCTATATTACAATAAAATAGCAGTAATAGAAAGCAATATGCATGGTAGTCTAACACAGTATATCAGTATAAATTCAATTGATAGTTCGTTTTTCAAATATGATTAGCCAAAAAATTTCATTACACCGTACTATCATTTCCATCGGTATATTATTTTATATAAGTCTATCACAAGAGAAACATCTAAATTGTAATAATTAAAGTATGCCAATATCAATATCAGTTTTAAATTTATGTATACAAGTACCTTAGTGTCCACAGCTAGTACCACAAAGAGAGAACTCCATCGATCAATCAAACACATCAAGAACACTATATAAAAAATTTCATTTGCGAAGGAATTGAAAAATGCATGCATGATTGACTTATAAAAGAATAAAATTTATGTTGTAACAATAATATATGAGTTAGATATAAGCAACAAGAAATACAAGATGAGATGAAATAGCTACAGAAAGAGAAAGTTATTGAGAGGTAAAATATAAATATTTAATTATTTTTTAATATTTGATATTATTCTTATTATTTGCTCTTAGTTTGCTCATTTTCCATATTTCATTTTAAAGTTCCCCTTCTCAAGTGACCTTTTTTTCGAAGTTATTGCATCATCTTCATCAAAAGATGAAAGTGAAAATGAGGATGAAAAAAATATGCGAGGATGAAAAATAGCATATATTGAACAAAAGAACAACAAGATGTGAAGAATTCTCAAAGGATAATTTTTATAAAAGGGTAAACTCCGTAGATCAATGAGACACATATAAGCAGACTATATAGATAATTTCATTTATATTTTTGCATAATCTACTCACATAATAATCAATATATATAATAATAGATGAAAACATGTTGAGAGTGCTTGTGTGTGTGTGTGTGTGTGTGTGTGTGTTATTCGTTCAATATATGACCAATTGTTCAACAAAACAGGAAAATCATAAATTTGCAGTGACAAATAATTTAACAAGTATCATTAACATTAAATTTATTTTATCTAAAATAAATAATAATATTATCAGAGCTAGAAACATAAATACGCAACTCATACTAGTTGACTTGCTTTCAACCTTCTTACACCTCTAGATTTTATCTCCAAGAATTTGACGTCTATAACATATATAAAACATAAATTTTAATCATATTATTAACTATGATTAACTAATATTTTAATTATAGATTGAAATCCTTTATTTTAAATATTCATGTCACTTTAACTATGACTATTAATATAAAACTTTTATCAATATATTCAACTTGTATTAAATTTTTCTTCACAGTATTTTCTTATTTAGTATAAATCTTATTTAATTTATCTCAAAAAATATTTAATATTATGCCAATTATTATCCCAATTGTTGATAAATTATTACAATTGTACTATTAAGTTTTATTAATTATAATCATACTCTTAGTTTAATTGTAATTTTCAATTATCATCTACATACATATGAGTGTGCTAATTATTATGTTTCATCATTTAGAAAATTTTGTTTTTTAACATAACAATCCTATTTTATTTCGACGAATACAACAAGTCCTTCTATTATGTCCTATTGAGTGTCATGTGTTCAATTAATTCCAATAAATTAAGAACATTTTTTATACAGCAAACTCCAGGTTTTTTAGGTCTACCTCTACCTTTCTTAACATAAATCCAAAACATCTACTCTCCTAATTGGGTGTCATTAGATGGTCAAAATTTACTATGACCAAACCGTCTAAGGCGACTCTCTATAATCTTATTAGCCACTGAAGCTACTTGAACCCTTTCACGAATATATTCATTTCACATTTTGTCTCTTAAGTGTAAAGCCACTCATCCATTTGAGCATTTTATCTCAACAACACATAATTTTATGCTTCTCTTTTACAGACCAACATTCTACGTCATAAATTGTAGGTCTCACCACTATCTTAAATATTTTCCTTTAAGTTTAAGCATTACTTTTCTATCACACAATAGACCTGATACATTCTTCTAGCTCAGTCATTCAACTTGAATTCTGCTAATAACAACCCAATCTATATCACCATCAATTTGAATAATATACCTAAGTTATCTAAGAGGTTCACTTGTTTTAATGACTTGATCATCCATTATTACAACCCGACCACAAAATCTACTCATTTTATTTTGACGATTATTAAGAATACTTTAAGTTTCAATAAAACTTTAATATCTTATTGTTTACTATTTTTTTATCTATTAAATAATTGAATCTCTTTTATTATTTACTTTCTAAATAAATATTTATCATTACATAATGACTTTAAAAAGATCATTTTATCTATATCAAAAATGTTATTATCCTAAATTTCTCAATTTCCTAATGTGTTCCATTCAAATCAGCAATTTTAAAGTTAAACAAAATTTACCATAAAATTCCAGCTTCATCATTCCCAGCTTAATGTTCGATCATTGAACTGGCATGTGCTTACTTGAAGACATGTATGCCCTCATCTATTTGTTTGCCTTCCACACGACTAAATGCAGCCTCGAGGCCACACAAATTTGACTTAGCAAGAGATTGGCTCAACATCAACTCTCCTAAAGATATTCGCCGCTCATGACAAGCATCAGTACTATCAACTTCGTACTCTTTTGTCCTTTCTCCCTATCCCTATATTTTCCACTTTCCTTGAGATCACATTGAGATTGTGCCCCTTTGTCTTCATCTCCCCTCTTAATAATGAGTAATAGTTAGCATTTCATCAAGCTATACAATCTTGCTCGCTAATAAAAATTTATTCATTGAATTTACATATCATAACTCATTACATTTGTCTTGCATGAATCATCTATCACTATATTACAAAAAAAAAGTATTTCTAAGCGTTTTTAGTAATTATTAGAAAATCATACAAAATGAATATTGATGAAAAACAATAATAACTTACTACAGCAAAATTTTTCAGATAAAATAACATTTTAATATACTATTGGCCATAAACATACTTGATCAGACATTTTTAACATCATTATCCACAGCAAAAGATGCTTCAAAATCTCTACGACTAAGAGCATTAACATGAGTCTGAACATTTTGACATTGCTATCTTCGGGTAGAAGCTGAAGCAGATTACGCTATCACCCTTTGCCCACCTGCAGGCATATGTAAATAAGATCCACTTAATTATTGCCCCTCAGAAGTCTTCCGACTGAATGAAGGGCAGTATCAATATGCCTAGGCTAACGTCATCATTAATATGGGTTGGGGCGACCCTGCATTTGGCACAGGATTCTATGATATTTTAATTCGTATAACTACTAAATCATCCAAAATTAAACTCAGACATCTTTTCATTGTATCCATTTGATTGAGTCATATGTTGTTTTCATCAACACTCTTTTTCGTGTGTAATTTCTTATGATTTTGAGTGATTTGAAAATGCATTTCTACTCTTCTGACCCTCTTCACTAGCACTGAAAAGTTATAAATCCTCAGAGGCACCAATGACTGCTTGATAGGATCCATGAATTTTGAAAAGAATATATATCACTTCTCTACTGTAGTCGATACCAACTCTGATGCATAACACGATATAATAGTGAAATCTGCTATGCACTATAGGTTTGTTTTTTCTTCTTATAACTTCGTCAAGATAGAGGCACAAACTACTCTCTAAACAGTTTAACAAAATCCTCCCAATT